CTGCCTTGCTGTGGGGCGTCTTGCTTAAGTCTTTGCCTTGAGCCCTCTGGCCTCACAAAGGACCCTCCCTGTGGCATCCTGTGAGGATGACAACCGGGAAGCAATCGTCAAGTGACTATTAGACAAGTTGGATAACAGGCATCTTTCCTTCCTCGTTTCTGGCGTGCTTCCACTGGACTGGGGGTCATTTTAACACCCCAGACTCCTCTCTCCTCCAAGTCTAGCCCTGAGAAGGCAGGTGAGCCCAAGGTCCAGGCTTTCTGCTTAGATCCTGCCTGCTGGGGTCCGGTCACAGGAGCCATCTCCTCCCTGGGGCGGACGCTAACAGCTTTTGGAGAAATTCATTCTACCTGCTGTCCAGGTGCGCCTTACTTATCCTGGCTGTCCTCCTGAAAACCATACTTTGAACCAGCAAAATCTCTACAGGGCCTTTGGAGAGACACGAAGGGGCCAGTGGGTATATCTCACCCACTGGATAGCTGACCCGACTCCTACGTCACAGAGAGGATCTGCACTGCTCTCGACAGGATGCTAAGATGGGCAGAATCTGGTCCTAAGCTGACATACATTATTCCAGTGAAGGGGTCCTTGATCCAGAAAGCAGCCAAACTCAGCCTTCTAGCCCGCCTTCCGTTGGAGGAAAGTCCAACCATCGACTCAGAGTAGGAAAGCCTGGATTTGATTGAAGATGGTTGGATGGGAGGTGGAAGGAGAGGGTGGGAGTCAGGGCCCAGCTCACGGGTGTCTTGTCCCCCCTGAATATGCCGATGAACAGCACAAGTGCAGTTTCCGGACACACCAGTGAGCTGCACTGGAAGCCGGATCGTGTCTGCCATTGGCCTTGGTTTTGGTTCCAGACTTGTGCTGCTCGTGGTCTACATGACCACGTGGATGGAGATGTAGGCAGGCAGCACACAGCTGTATTTCTGGAAGAGACGCACCTTGCTCCCTTTGTTTTTTCAAACTCTTAATAGCCCTCTCCCCAAAATTACTTAAGGGAAGATGAGACGATTCTATAGGGATATATATACCTTTGCATCTGAATCCTCAGGTGTATATGCTTATGAGGATCCCACGTATATTTACTGATCTACGTGCCGATGACATAAGCACACATAGCCTGGTCAGTTTCTTCTTACATACTTTTCGGTTAAAATACTCTGCTCTGTTTTCTCCAAACCCCCCCAGAAGCCCCGATTCCCTTCCCAGGAGTAGAAAGGCTCCTTGACTGAGATTCAGGCGGCACCTCATCCCCCTTCTTCCCCGAGTGCTCTGTGCCTTGGCAACCAGCCCTCTAGCCATGAACTTTTAAACTTTGTCTTCCCACTCGCTAGACTGCACTCTGTGGAGGTAGGAAATGGGCCTTCGATTTCTTGCTGTCACCTTCATTCGCCTGCAACCCAGGTTCCCGGACACCAACCCCGTTTACACCCATGTTGTTTTAGCTGCTGGAGGACACGGGGTAGACAGCGCGGGCCCCTCTCCAGCATGAAGGGGTATCAAGAAGCCTGGTGTCAGCCAGCCCATCTGGATAGCTGGCTCCTAGCGGCCACATCAAGGTGGCAGGAACGGCCCGACATGCTGCCAGCTCCCAGTTTGGAAACTGTCTCCTGTTGTTGTTGGAGCGATCACACCTCCCCTGTCCACTGTGGCCCCCGGGCCAGCGAATGCCTCGGGAGCACCCTTATTGCCAAAAGGGAAAGTACAAAATAGCGCACATCTGAACGGCAGAGGAGAAACCGAAGCAAATAAAGACATGTTCACTCACGGACCGAACAGGCAGATTTGGGGTTGGCTGGCCATGTCGCTTTGGAAGGATTCTGCGAACCTATTTAGGAGACTGGAATGTTGTTTCATTTTAGTGCAGTTTTGTTTTTGCAAGGAAAACACTGGTGTGGCCTCTCCGCTGGGCCCTCTCAGCCTCAGCCTTTCTGGATCACAGCCACGGGACCTTGTTTGGTCCTGGTAGCATGAGTGATGAGACGGGACAGGAGTTTGTGAAGAAGTGGGTGTTCCGGGCACTTTTGTTCTGACTAGCTTGTGTGTGCTCTCCCATCTCTCCTGACGTTTTGCAAGGCCAGGGCATTTTGATGAGCTGGTCTATCTCCCTATCCTAGGGAAAAGCCCCCGGCCTTAGCTTACAGGGCACATTAGAAGCTTATAGATGCTCTGGGGTGGACAGATCATGATAGCAGTCATGGTAGTGGGGTCAATCTTAGGAACAGTGATGGGAGACAGGTGGGGTTTGGGCTGGGCCATTGCTCTCCGTGTTTGTTACTTCACCCTCACAGCAACTTTACCAGGTATTGTGGTCATCATCCCCATTTTAGAGATTAGAAAATGAAGGCACAGAGAGGTTTGGTAACTTCCCCAAGGCCACACAGTGCCAGTGCTGGGATGTGAACCAAGGTAGTCAGGCTGCAGCCCCTCCAATGCTAAGCCATGTTTCTGCTCCACTAGTAATAAGTCCGTCACTTGTAAGCCAAATGAGGGGCGCGGAGCCAAGACAATCAGAGAAATTTAGGAGGAAAGAACTCAGGAGACTCAGGACTTTGCCCTGGGCCACGTGGTAATGGTGGAACTCCAACTCCGATGTGGCTTCCTGGCTACAAACACTTACTCTCTTTTCACGGAACTATTCTCCGACGGAAAGGTGCCAAGCTCAGGCCATTTCAGGGTAAGGAAGGCACTGGCTCCCTGTGTGTGCAGAAGGTTCCAGAAGTACCCAGGTTTATGGGACACGTCTGCTTCAGACATGTTGTGTCTCAATGAAGCCAAGCCATTTTTTTATGAGCCAGGAAAGGGTCGATGTTGCTATTTAAAGGACCTTTTGCTATTTCCCCCCCTAACGCAGAGACGGGTTCCCTAGTTTACCTTCTGTGTTAATGAAGAAGACGGAGCCAAATCGATTCAAGGAAGGATCAATAGGAACGTCCTGGCACGTGTGCTTTGCGCCCAACAGTGAAGCTGGTACAAACCGCCTGTGGGAATTAACATAGAGGAACTAGCCCCTGGGCCTCTGGGAGGCCGGCTCCCTGCCGAGGGTGCGGCTGTGAAGTTAGACTCAGAGGTGCGCACAGCATCCCGAGGCATCTTGCCAGCCTCTCGTTTTTTACAGCCGACTTGGAAACAGCCACTCACCTCCTCCCAATTGGAGCTGCCTCCACTGAATTTGCTAACTTTGCCAGTGGGCTCCGTGTTTTGCCATCCCTGGCAAGAGGGTCTGGAGGGGCCATTAATTCACCGGAGTCTTGACTTCATGTCTGACGGGGAGAGTAGGACCCAAAGCCGTTGGGGAAGGAACAGGACCGAGTCCAGTTGGGATGGGGAATTGGTTCCTAGTAAAGAATTGTTTATGAGATTCCAGTCAATGAATTGAGAAACATGGTGGGACGTCCAAAACGGGGAAGGATGATGGAGTTACCAGAACGGGCAAGGAGCGTGTGTGTGTGTGTGTGTGTGTGTGTGTGTGTGTGTGTGTGTGTGTGTGCGCACGCTGAATTTGCTATTCAAAGCATGGCTGCTATACATGCAAATCCATTCCATTCTGGTCAAGGTCTTAGCGTGAGAGCATCCAGATGCCCCTGAATGAGACTCTCTGCCCCTGTGGCAGCCCTCCCCCCGCCCTCCACCTTTTGTTCCTAGTTCTTTGACTAGATGACTTTTTCTTTGACTGAGCCAATGAATGTGACTTCTACGCAATTTCTGAATTCTGTCTTCAAGACGTGTCCTCCATGTGCCGGCTTTACAAGTATTTGAAGACAGCTATTGCGTGCTTCATTTTCACAAAAAGGAAAAAAGAGAACATCCAGCCTCTCATAATCTCAGAGCCAGCCCCTCGCTTCCCTGTGTCCCATTACTTGTAGTAAATGCCTTTATCACACTGGATCTAATGATTTTCATGTTCATAGTCAACTAATCTTTACTGAGCGCCTCCTTTCTCCCAGACGCTGTAGTAAGAAACTTCGTAGGATCTTTTGTTTCACCCTCACTCCAGTCCCCTGATGTAGGTGGAGTGACGTCCTCTTTACAGATGAGACACTCACAGCTCAGAAAGAGGACGTGGCTTCATTCTCTTGCCAGTTTCCTCGTCTGTGTAATGTGGTCGCTAATACCGCCCTTGTCAGGGGGTCCTGAGGAGTAAATGAGTGAGATGTGCTGTGCACAGGATGGGAGCTATCTTCTGGGAACAATCCTTCCATGGTCAGCCCATTCCGTTATGGGCAATAATGATGATGATAATGATGATACTAATGACATTTATGTGAAGTACAGTGTGTCCGAGATACAGGGCCAAGACTTTCACACGCATTAGCTCGCCTGATCGTTTCAAGTCAGGAGATTGGTGCCGTTATTATACTGGTTTCATTAGAAGAGGAAATTAGAGGCCAGAGACAGTTGCTTGCCCACTGTCGTAAGAGCTGGAAAGAGCAGCTCTTTCAGGGCTGGGATGAGGACGGTTCTGTGGGCTCCTGAGCCCACACTCCCAACCCCTCCCTCCTCTGCTGCACCCTCGGTGAGCGACATTCTACCGCATCTTTTGCCATATGAGTGCTGGGTACCCAGGGTCCCATCAGAATACTGACTGGACTGGGGCGTGAAGGGAGGCTGGCTGCGTCGCCACATTGTGGACATGTCAGGACGTGATGAATTTACTCATGCAAAGGAAGAGCCCCAAAGGAGGCTCAGGGTAGGGTCCTGGTAGAAGGAGTAGGCCGGGGAGGCCGTGGGAATGGCAGATGGGCAATGGACGGAGGGCAAGAAGCGCTAACAGGTGAGGTGGATTTCGGATTATGGTGGAACCACAGAGTCAAGAGACCCCTCCAGGCCCCTGCAGCCTAGGCGTTTCCAGGGCCGGCAACTGTGAGCCTGTGGAGGGATTATTGTAACTTGCACAATGACTGCCTTCCTGGGGGCTGGGTGTCCACCCCGAGGTGGGGTTGCGATGTGGTTCAGGCCTCCCTAACCGCCTCCTGTCTCCGTGTCGCCTTTCTCTGCAGTGATCCGGGCCAGGGTGGTAGGGAAGAAGTTGGTGAAGGAGGGCCCCTTTGGCACACTGGTCTACACCATCAAGCAGATGAAGGTGAGTGGCACAGCCGGGCTCCAGGAGGGTTGCTGGGGTTTTGTGGGGTTTTTTGCCAGAAGAGGCTGGCCAGGGGAGGCGAGGTGGTTTGGAACCAGGATGTGTGTCTGAGCCCCAGTCCCAGCCCGTCCACCCTGCTGGAGAGGGTGTTTCTGAGGCAGCAGAAAGGCATGGGTGGGAAGAGGGGGCATGGTGGCTGCTTTATCCCACAGCCAGCCCGGGCGGAGTCCCTCAGAGGCAATTAAGAGTCTAGGCTCTGGAACCGGACAGCAGACAGCCTTGTTACCCGGTAACTATGAGACCTTGGCCACGTCACTGCCCCCTCTGGGCCTCAGCCTTCCCATCTGTAAGACGAGGAGGTTGGACTAGATTCATCTTAGGGGCTCTTTCGAGCTTTGACTTTTTGAGTGTCAACAACGCCTACAGGTCTTGTGCAGCTACTGAGGTTGCAACTTAGGTTTAACGCCTCAAATCTTGACACTGACCTTGGCTGATCACAGAAGCCTCATCCTGAGATAGGAACAGCACCCTGTTTACCTATTTTCCCAGCTGGTTAGCACCGTGTACTAAGCACATCCATATAACTAAACATAGTCCTGAGCACATTACCACTACGAAGCCCTTTAAGGAAAGCCTGCCTTAAGGAAAAGAGCATCAGATTCGAAGCCTACCGAGCCTGCTTCCCGGTCTCAGCTCCACTCCTAAGTAGCTGGCTTACCCTGGAATCGCCCCTTTCCCTGGCCTCAGTTAGGCCCTCTGTTAACAGTGTGGGGTTGGGCTTGGTGTCCCCAAGAGCCCTCTGGCTCAGAAACCTCAGGGTCTAAGTGCCCTGGAACACTGGCCCTGTCACTTCTAAGCAGGAGCTGCTTTAGGTGCCGGAAAGGAATAGTTACATTTGCCTCAGCAGAGAGGACAGGGGCCTCACCCTGAATAATCTGGCAACTGGTCCAGCACCCCACCTTGGTAAGCACCTCCCTATGTGCAGTGCTTCACGCCAAGAGCTGTGGAGGCCACTAGGAACTACAGTCAGGTGGGGAGAGAAGACTCATGTGTGTGACTAATCAGAAGTTCGAGATGGTGCACTCAGGTCCAGGGCAGCTGCCGTCCTCTTGACTCACGGCTCAGATTTGCATCCCCAGCAACCAGGGCGGGGCCCGTCATGCAACAGGCACTTGGTGAATGCTTCCCCATCTCATGGGGGAAACGAGAGTGAGACCCCACTGGCCTGGACCCCCCAGAGGAGACAAGCCTTGACCCCTGGAGAGAAATGGCAGGGGGGTGACACAGCCCACGAGTGGTACCCGTCCATCCCAGAGGCAGGCCTCCTGGTCTCCCTCTTCCTGCACCCGGAGGCCTGAGGTCGGATGTACTCAGTTTGTAGAACCTGTCGCTTTGGATTCAATTTTGGAAACATCCACGGCCTCCTGGTTATGTAATGTCCAGAGTCAGCCCTGGCCAGTTGCCCTTGGCTTCCCAAGCTTGGTCATAGGACCAGCTTATGTCTTCAGATGGCCGTGGGGAGAGACCAGTGGGCGGGGGGAGGGGGGGACCAATAAGAGCAACAACCCCCCCAAACCCCACTGTGCAACCCCTGTAGCCGGTGGGTAAATGCCAGAGCCTATTAAACAAAAGCAGAGGTTTAGGAAACACATCCCCCCGCCTGCTCTGGAACAATCCTTCACATTCGAGACACTGGTCAGCAGAGAGCTGCGAGGGAGAGAACTGGGAGGCAGTGTTGCTAAGCTCGCCCAGCTGCCCTCCTTCCTTCAGCGCCTGGACGCCAGGATGGTCAGAGGCCCTTCCTGTGGGCAGAATGTCCCATTTCCCCTCACTGGCATCAGACCAGCCACTTGGCGTGGGGAGTGTTTAGAGGCGAAATAACATTTGTTCCCCCTTCAGCTTCAGAGCACCCACACCCACTCCCAGGATGCTGGTCTCCTGCTGTCCACGCACCATCCCTCCCCCCCGGCTCACAGAATCAGGGTGCTGGGCATCAGAAGACCAAATCCCTCCGTTTCCTCTGACGGAGGCTCAAAGGGGAAGCGACTTGCTCAGAGTCACGCATTTCATGAAAGGCAAGTCTGGCTCCCTGGCTGCGGTGTCAGCACTCCTTCCCAATCCTGCGTGTTCTTTACATGACTCCCCAAATCTCCCTGCCATCTTACTTTGGTCATCAACCAAATGCCTTGTATTAACTGTGCCCCTACTACCAGCCAATAGATGTTAGACAGCCCACAGAACCGGCCGTTGCCCTTCTATCCAGAGAGGCCACTGGATTCCGTTGGTCTCCAGGTACCAGTCCGCTAGTCAGAGAAGGTGCAGGACGCAGGCGCAGACCATCCGACCCCTCCCTCTCTCCCCTCATTCTCACCCTATCTGCTTAGCATTGTGCTTCCAGCTGGGGATACAGACAACACTTGTTACAATGAATGCAAGACTCCATACAAGTAGTATTTGCTGAGCCTTTGCTATAGTCTGCTAAGCCTTTGCCTGACTCGATGCTCATAATAACCCCATGGAACAGATACACAATATCAAGATCATAGCGCTAGAAAGTGGCAAACCAGAGACCAACTATTGGGCTTTGCCTGCAAGGAGATTACAGGCCAGTGGCTAAGCAGGACACTAATGTTCATTCCTGCCCACTTTGGGGGCTACCCCCGCCCTATTTGGACCTAGTTCCCCCAGGGGCCAAAAAGAGGTTAGCTTGAGTTTGGGGGCTTATCATGCAGGAGTGTGTAGCTCTTGACTTGCCACTGTCCTGCAAAGGGTATATATATAAAAAAAATGTTTGTAAGAGGGAAGGGGGAGAGGTTGGCGGGGCGAGCCTGCATGAGTTTTGGCACTGGTCCCCGGGGCGCTTTGTTCTAGCGGATTAGACAGTCTACCCAGAGAGTGAGATGGGGTAAGCAAGGGCTCCCTTAGAGGAGGGTTAAAGGAACTCCGAGAACGTGAGAATTCAAGCCACCCCATCTGACCTCTCTGTTCGTTCTCAGAGTTACCCCTCCAAAAAACAAAACGAAACAAAACAACCTCACCCAGATGGAAGGCAGGCAGCCCCTCTACCATGTGCTAACTCCAGAGCCTCTGGACCATCTCTCAGGCACATCCTGAGTGTGCTGTGTGGTGGGGAGGAGGGTGTTAGAATGTTGAGGGAGCCCATTGCAAACCCAAAATTGGAGATTAGCTGTAGCTGAGCCACTGGGCTGTGGTGCAAAGGTGGAAGTTTCCAAACTGGCTGCTCTAATCTATGGGGACCTTATCTCCTACCAGGACCATGAGAAAGCAGTCTGCTTTGCCAGGGGCTGGAGTTTGTGCAGCAGGGACATGCTCTTAGGCCAGCTGCAGGGGACAGCACGTGGGGGACATTTTGTCCCAGATGGTCCCGGGAGGGTCCCATGGGAAGGCCTGCTGGTCATGTGCTGTGCATGTCCTGACTCTGGCAGGATAGAGCTGCTGGGCAGTTGGAATGCTTGGCCCCTGGGGACTTCCTTCCCTCAGCGGTTTGTCTAATCAAATGAGCAAGCGCAGGGTCTCGCCTTTGAAGCTCCAGCTGGAAGCCCGACAGCCCCGCCCCCAGCACACAGAAAACCGTCCCCTCCTCCCTTCGCCTGGGACTTGATGCTCTGTGTCCCTCATTAGCCTTCCGCAGAGACTGATTCCATTCTCCTGTGCTCTGCTTCCCTGGCTGGGCAGCCGTTCTGTGAGCGAAAGACTGTGCGTTTGGTATCTCAGTGGAGTAATAGCTGTGAAACTCAGCTGCTTGGCTTCTACATGAGCCTGTGATAGAAAGCGGCCTTTAGCACCGTGCTAGTCTTCGGTAGGCACGCCAGAAATATTTGTCAAAATGGTGACATTTCATGCTGTCCACGCAGAGTAAAGGCCAGACATTCCAGAAGAGAGATGCCAATTCCCTCAGACTCACAAACTTCTTTCTCCTATCTTATTTGTCCCTTCATCCCAAGGGAAGCTAACTTCTTGGACCTTTGTGTAGACACTACCAAGGTAGCAGTCCCAGGGGCTTCTAGAGTCCAGTGTGACACACACACACACACACACACACTCACAGAGGAATATTATCCAGCCTTTAAAAAGAAGAAAATCTTGACATTTGTGACAACAAGATGAACTTGGAAGACATGCTAAATCAGATATGCCAGGCGCAGAGGACAAATACTGCATGATCTCAACTTTTTTGTGGAATCTAAAAAAGTCAGACTCTTAGAAGCAGAGAGTAGAATGGTGGTTACTAGGGGCTGGGAGGCAGGGGAGATGGGGAAGGGTGGTGGGTCAGAGGGTACCAAGGTTCAGTTATGCAGGATGAATCAATTCCAGACGTCTAATGTACAGCATGGTGACTATCATTAACAATATGGAACACTTGAAATTCGCTGAGAGTCGATCTTAAGTGTTCTCATACATACACAAAGAAAGTAACTGTAGGAGGGGATAGATAGTTACCTAGCTTGATTGTGGTTATCACTTCACAATGTATACATATATCGAAACATCCCATGTCCTGCGTAAATATATAGACACTTTGTTTGTCAATGATACCCCAGCTGAGCTGGGGGAGGAGAGCAGCCTGCTGAGATCTGACGTTCCAAACCAGTTTTAACTATCGGCGGACAGATGAGCCTGGACAGAGACACGCTCGTTACAAATTTGAGTCTAACTGGTTTTAAGCTAACTTTTACTGAATGGTGTGTGCCAAGTGCTATTGTAAGTCGTGGAGTTCTCAAAAGCACCTTCTGAAGCAAGTACGTTGCCCCCACTTTACGAGGAAACTGAGTAGCTTTCCAAGTGACGAATAAATGGCCGAGTCAAGAGTCAGACTCGGTCTGTTTGTATGTCTGTAGAGCCCAGGTTGGTCATTGGTTCTCCATTGCACTAGTCAGATTCGATTGCCTTTCACATCCTTTCCAATGCTGAGATTCTACGATGCTTCGATTTCAGGACATTATAAGCCTGTTGTTATAACCATCCTAAATCTGTCAGGCCAATTCTAGGTCTCTATGATGCTTTGGGATTAATACTTAGGTCAACATAGGATTACTATAAAGAGAAGACAACTAAATGAGCAAAATCTGCCTTTACCATACAGGGACTATATTGTGATGATCAGAATTGACCCGATAAGGCATCACCGTGTTGGGCAGACCCAGTCATTTGTAGTGTATGACAGTTGTGACTCTCTGCCTGGGCTAGAAGCCATGTTAAAAGGAGGGTTCCTGCAAATTCAGAAGGAGCAGTGATGCCAAGCTGATTTGGACTAGCTGAGTTCTTAATGAGCAGGTGAAGTCACTGGACTCTAAGCAGGGGCTTGGTTCTCCCCCATAAAGCAGAGATGAGATGAAGGGGAAAGATCACACGGAATGAACGAGGGCCCAATAGGCTGGGCCCGAAAAGACCTAGAGCGAGTACTGAGTTGACACATTTGCCAAAAACGGACCATCCACACCAAAACAAGAGGGTGCTGGGCACAGAAGCGAGTGTGGGGGATGGCCTTCGAAGGCCACACTTGTTGGCACGCACACACAGCTGCCCTCTTGAGCACGGTTCCTGTGAAAGCCAGAGGGGCACCATCCATCACTGAGAAAGTGGGGGGATGATGTGACACACCCCCTGCTCCCCACGGCATAACTGAGAGCTGAGTGTGGACAGCGCTTCTAGCGGCTCCTGGCTGCGTTTCCTCATTCAGCAGCCAGTCTCAAGGGAGAAGAGGGTTCAGAAGGGAGGCCAGGTAAATTAAAACCATCTGCAGTGATGGCGGCTGCTCTTCAAAAGGCAGAGGCTCCCAAACTCTGTCGGCCTCGCAGGCCCTTTGTGATGGCAGAGCTCCTCATGGACCACGCAACCCCCGCCAGCCAGTCGCCACTTAAAAAGAAGACAAGGCAAAAAAAAAAAAAAAAAAAAAGCCCATTATACCAAATGGGAGGCACTTAGATGAGATGACGCCAATGAGGTGATGTCTGGCTTTTTATTAATTACCATAAGTAAATTAATAACGCATGCCAGGAGCTAAAGTAGAGACCGTGTCCTACTGTAAACCTTTGGGATAAGCCCAGAGGCCACCAGCTGTCTAGGGCCTGTGGACTCCGAGAACAAGAGGGATAATGCGATTGGGGGACACCTCGGTGCCTCATCCCACCCCCACCAGCTCACACACTTAGCAGAGTTGTCTTGACAGACCCACGTAACGCTCATGGACTTGACCCGGAATCACCAAGTTGTGTTCAGCCTCCGTTATGTTCACACCAGTGGCTCCGAGGGCATGCTGATAAAGGAGGCAACAGTAGTCATAAATGACCTGTGCCTGTGTCAGAGGTCCTTGGACATGAACTTGTGGGGCTGCGGTGGCAGACGCCATAGGATAATGGTTAAGTGCGCGGACTCTGGGACACATTCCTCTGCTTGGGCTCCTACCTCTATTGACCAACTGTGTGGACTTAAACAAGCTATTAACCTGCCTGGGCGTCAGGTTCCTCATCTATAAAGTGGGCATAATAGGGCTGTCATGGTATTAAATAGGGTTAATACTAGAGCAGAATTTCTCAGCCTTGGTCCTGTTGACATTTGGGGCCAGATAATTCTTTGCTGTGGGGGCTGTCAGGTGCGTCACAGGATATTTAGCAGCATCCCTGGCCTCCACCCACGGATGCCAGTAGCAACCCCTCCCCATCACCTCCCAGTGGTGACAACCAAAAATGTCTCCAGACATTGCCAAATGTGTCCTTGGGTGGGGATAAAATTGCCTCCAGTGGAGAACTACTGTATTAGATTATGTTGTAGATAAAAATGCCCACATAACAGCAATTTCATGGTTATAAAGTATTTAGCTAACAATCTAGGTGTTTTGAACCTGTGTATATGCTTCATCTGGGGTAAAAGAGCTCAAAGCTTGCATCCGATGCTCAGAAGAATAAAAGCATGGAGAACCCCTGGCCTGAGCTCGCTTGTCACCAGCCAAACAGAATTTCTCTCAGAGTCCTCATCTGTAAAATGGGTATAATAATACCTGCCTCCTAGCGTTCTTGGGAAATTATGGTGAAGGGAATGTGAGAATGCCTTCGGACACTAGAAAATGGCAGAAAGATGTTGTGAAAATGCTGGCTTGCTGCCTTCTCAGAGCTCAGGTCCTGAGGCTGGAGGGGCTGGCAGGACCCTTTCACAGCAAATTCATCTCTGGGCTTCTGTAAAGGTGTTGGGAATGGAGGAATATGTCTCTGGAGGAGCATTTGGGGGTGTTGGCATGGGAGATGGGACTGGCTGGACGGGAAGGTTTCTCTGGGAAGGCGCCAATGATGGCTCAGTCAGAGGAGACGAGGTGGCCTCCTCGGGAGGGAAGGACCTGAGGTGGGTGGGTTGGTGACTGGCTGCATGATGTCCAAAGAGGGGACCAGATTTCCCACAGTCCGGATGACAGCATGCCCCCCGAGCCCTGGTTCTCCTCTCATGACGTTCCTTCTGCCCACAGATGTACCGCGGCTTCACCAAGATGCCCCACGTGCAGTACATCCACACAGAAGCTTCTGAAAGTCTCTGTGGCGTCAAGCTGGAGGTCAACAAGTACCAGTACCTGCTGACAGGTAACAGCCAGCTGCTGCATCTAGGCCAGGGTCTGGCCAGGGTCCACCGTTCCTTCACTTCACAAGGACGGAGAGGGAGTCGTTGACCCCAGAGTGTCCCGAGGACCTTACATGTGCCCAGTGAACTGTAAGGAGCATCTGGTCTTGAGTTCCTCTTGCTTAGCATAGCTGGGAGCTGAGGCTCCTACACTGAGGCGGGTTTTACTCAGCTCCACCACCGACCCTGTGGAGGAAATCACCTCGTTTTGCCGTTTCTCAGCTCTACTGTAAGTGAAACAGGGTGGCCAGTGCCCGTTTCTCTCCACCTCACAGTCCACCTACTAGGCCTAGCTTGGAGAGGTGCCCCCCTTTAAGGCAGTCGATGTAGGAAAGAAAATAACAAAACCCAAAACCATTGATGTGGAGGATGAAGAGCTGGTCTCCAGTCCCAGGTCCAGTGCTTCATGGTTTGAGACCTTCTGCAGATCGCTTAGCCTCTCTGAGTTCATTTCCCCCATCTGGAAAATGGGGACGCAGTTCACCTTCAAAGGTGTTTGGGAGGGTGAAATAAAATCACAGGACTGAAATGTCCTTAGCGCAGTACCCGGCCTAAGGTGGATACTCAGTGGTGTGAATGCTTTCCCTTTGGGCTGGGCTCCGGATAAAACAACTCTCCCCTTAACCGTCCTCTCTCCTCCTCTAGGCCGTATCTACGATGGGAAGGTGTACACGGGACTCTGCAACTTTGTGGAGCGGTGGGACCAGCTCACCATCTCCCAGCGCAAGGGGCTGAACTATCGGTATCACCTGGGTTGTAACTGCAAGGTAAGCCCCCGGGACTGGCAGGCAGGGCAGGTGCTGGCTCACAGCCCCAGAAATATCAGCTCCTGCTGTACTGGGCGCTGGGCCCTTGTGCTGGAAGGGAGTGAGTGTGGGGCCGGGGCAGAGGGGCAGGTCTGAGCAGGGCTGGTAAGGAATGTGGCCCCCGGGCCGAGTAGCAGAGAAGGCGAGAGAAGAATGCCTTTCTGCTGTAATCTGCTGGCTGCATGCCACTTGGCAGCTGCTGGGGCACAAGTGCTCGTCAGCGTCCCGGCCCCTCCCACGGCTCAAGTTGGTGGCAGGTACAGGGTCCTGGCACTAGCAGGTCCTGCCAGCTAGTCCCAAGTGGTGTCCCCACCCCCACCCCCCAGGTCGGCAAGCTGAGGTAGGACTGCTGATACCAGACGCTGCAGAAAATAACGCTTCCACCAGGCCCAGCTCCCTGACCCAAGCACAGGACCAAGCCATACAGCCCTGCTGCTGTGGGAGGGAGCTGGGCTGTTTTCTCACTTGATTCTCACAGCTCTGTGCAGTTTCAATGACTATTAGCCCTATTGTGCAGATGAGTGAATACAGGCTCAGAGACCTTAAGTAACCAGCCCTAGGTCACACAGCTCACAAAGTCTTATTTCCAGCCTAGGGCAGCTGGACTCCAGAGTTTATGCATTAGTCTTTCTCATTCTTCAGTTTCCCTAACAACAGCTGAGATCTCTCATCCCTGCCTGTTACCGTTTGAGAGGGAAAAGCTCTCTCACATGTCTAATTCTACCATTTGCTAGCTGTGTGACCTGGAGCAAGTTACTTAACCTCTCTGAGCCTCTAGTTCCTTATCTGTAAAAGGGAGATATATTTGTAATGAGAATTAAAGAGAATGACAGGAGCACTCAACAGAATGTCTGGCACACAGTAGGTGCTCAGTAAGTGTCAGTGAGTATTATATATATTATTTTCATTAAGGGACTGCTGTGGCTCTGGGCTCCCCTTGCAGTGGTCCCAGGTTCTGAGTCCAGACTCAGGCAAGCATCAGGCCTGGGTCCACCCTGGCGGGTCTACCAACCAACGGCTGTTCTCTAATTGCAGATCAAGTCCTGCTACTACCTGCCTTGCTTTGTGAGCTCCAAGAATGAGTGTCTCTGGACCGACATGCTCTCCAATTTCGGCTACCCCGGCTACCAGTCCAAACACTACGCGTGCATCCGGCAGAAGGGTGGCTACTGCAGCTGGTACCGAGGATGGGCCCCCCCGGATAAAAGCATCATCAATGCCACAGACCCCTGAGCGCCAGACCCTGCCCCACCTCACCAACCTCCCTCCCCACTGAGCTTCCCTCGGACACTAACTCTTCCCAGATGATGACAATGAAATTAGTGCCTGTTTTCTCGCCAATTTAGCACTTCAAACACTTAAAAGTCTATGCTGTCGTATGGAGTTTATTTGGAAACATCCCCCTGCCCCCTCGCCCCCACCCACCCAACCCTTTCTTTTTGGTTTTGACATCACCCATTTCCACCCAGGAGTTTTGGGTGCCGTGCCAGAGAGAACGGGGAAATGGACACTCCTCTTCATGATAACGTAACCTATATTTTTTTAGGAAAACAAAAATCAAAAAACTGCCCCATTTGGGCATTGTAATACCTACCCCTCCTTACTCTTCCCCACCTCATCGTCTCCCAGACCCTCCCCCCTTTTGCCCTTCTCCACCCCAGTCCAGAAAGGATACAGACAAGGAAGCTACAGAGAGGCCAACTGTTTCAGAATCAGTCAAGGGCAGCGAACAGATAGACTCAAGGTATGCGGAAGGTCTTATACACTGAGGAGATGCTGCCCATGTCCCAAGCAGACGACGTCTGTTTGTGTCTGCATGTACGGGTGTGAGAGGGAAGGAATAAACTACAGGAGAGGGTCTGACACGATGTAGCACACACACAATCCCCCCAGCCCAGCGAGGCCTTGGGTTGACCAGATGTTTCTGCGTCTGGAGCAAGCGGCCAGGCCCGACGAACAGAACTTTCTTAGTTGGTGAAGCCTTAAACCATCTGCCTGAGGTCAGGAGGCAATTCGCCTGCCTTGTACAGAAGCTCAGGTAAAAGACTGAGATGAATGTCTTTCCTCTCCCCGCCTCCCACAAGATTTCCTCCTGGAAAACTCCTGGGTCGATTTTGGGCAGGAGCTTGACTTTATGTAAATGGCAGAAATACTCCCACCAGACACTATCCACAGACACAGCCAAGTAGACTTGGGTAGAAAATACTATTTCCAAAGTAGCATTTAGCTCACCTCGGGGGGGATGTGTTTGTATACACATTTGCATTTACCCACACAAGGACATAAGCTGATTTTTTTTTACAGGACACCGAATTCTGTTCAATGCTGTTAAATACGCCAATAGTTTAATCTCTTCTATTTTGTTGTTGTTGCTTGTTTGAAGAAAATCAAGACATTCCAAGTTGACCTGTTTTTTTTTTTTTTTGCATTTTAATTAAAATTTGAAATTCTGAACACCCTCAGCATTCCTCTAACTGGGGTCATGTGACCTCTGTCCCTCACTTTTTCTCCTGCTTCCTTCATGTTTGGGGCCTTCATTTAACTGCCTTCCTGGCTTGGCTCAGATGGGAGATGCGAGTTAGTGGGGTCAGGGGCCTAGCCACAGGAGGGAAAGCTGCAGTGTCCTGCCGAGGCTGGACAGCCACTTTCCTGGGTTTGGGGACAGCCTGCTCCTCTCCCTCCAGCTCCCTGCTGGGTGAATGCCACCTCCTGAGGTCCTCACCTCATGGATTTAAATTGGCGGTCCCTGGGGAAGGCTGACTCAGCAGTCAGCTGTGGGGTTTGATCTTGTTTTTTGTTTTTTTGAAATAAAACTATAATATAAATTCTCCAATGAAATAAAATTATTTTATGATGTAGTGCTGAAAATGAGATGCCGAACGTAGGTGATAATGTATATTTTACAGAATTGGGGGTGGTAGGATGGTGACATTTAACAGGATCGCTCTCTTTTTTCAGATTATGGGTATTTATCCTCTATTAGTATTTGTATCTTCAGTTCATTCCGCTTTAGGAAACAGCTGCCAATTGAAACAGGATAACAAAAAGACGCAGACAACATGTTGCGATGTCTTGCACGCACACACAAATGCCTAGGCAGGGAGTTTGGCAGAACCCCGGAGCGGGAAGACAGGACACGCATCCAGTATCCTTGGGATTGATTTCAGTACCTAGTCCCTTCCACCTTGTGGTCATGACATTTGGCACGCGGGAAACAGGAGGCTTTGCCCTCTCAATGGGGCTGTAGGAGCAGAAGGCGCTGAGGTCAGCAGGCCAGTGGCTTTTAAGGGGTGAGCCCCAGACTTGGTGTTCGAAGATGTTCTTTATTTCAACCTCAAAGTCTTACAAGGTAGAACCCCCTGATGCAACCCACACAAGTGCCCCCCCACAATCGGCCATCAGCCTCGCCTCCATGAGGCATCTGACCATTCTTGGTCCCCAGTAGGGTCACCTCTACTCACATAGGAGGAACTTGGGGTGAGGCCTGAGCATGAGTCAGCTGAAATGTCCCTGCAGACAAGTTGGCGGAGCCACAGTCCCATCTGCCAGGCCCTGGCGAGGAGAACAGTAGGACCTGGGCAAAGGCGTTTCCTTTGCAAAGCGATGTTGGCAGAGGGCGGTTTTGAGCTTTCTATAAGCTATAGCTTTGTTTATTTCACCTGTTCACTTACTGTATAATTTAAAGTCATTTATGTAGCTGAGACACTTCTGTATTTCAATTATATCATGAGCGTTTTATTTTGCTAAATCTTGTGTCATGTGTAGGCTGTAATATGTGTACATTGTGTTTAAGAGAAAAAAAAAAAAAAAAAGAAAACGAAACCCATATGCCGCCATTTTCCCGAATCAAATTCTACAGTGGAATGGAAGGTAAATACTTCTACCGTGCAGGCAGCTAGACTGGCGAATGGGGAAACTGGGAGGAGTTGGCATTTGAGACTCCTCCGGCCTCTGCTCTGTCAGCATCCCAGTGCCACATGGAGTAGAAAGCAGGAGGGGAAAAGGGCAAGTGCGTCCACAGTCCTTGCTCTGCATCAACTAGCCCTCGGCAGTCAGCTGGTCATTCCCATTGCATGTCCCCCTCGTCCCTTTGCCCACCCAACTGGAAAGCCACGGTTTCTCCTAAACATCCCAGGCCGGGAGAGCTATCATTCCAAGCTCTCTTGGCCTCCCTATCCGGAAGCGCCACACCAAGGCTCCGCCTCGCAGGTCAGCGCTCCGTCTGGCCGGGGGAGTAAATAATACTGGGAGACTACTGAGCTTTATCCTCACCCAGCCCCAGACCTATCTGATGGTCAAGCGACCACCCGCGAGCACCGTGTCTCATACCATGGTTCTTGAGCAATTCAATAAATAAAGGATTTATTGGAGCAGCTCTGTCTCAGAGACACAGAGAGAGACAATAGCCTCCCCTCCCCCGGCCCTCCATCCTGTGCTCCACGATCGATCGCCAAGACAGATTACCCTAAGATGGCACCCACGTGTTTGGCTCCTGGCTGCCTAAAGTAAAAGTATCACTAAAATAGTTTCACACAAGAAAAACCCTTGGAAGAGCTGAAGGCAAAAGCAATACAAACTGGGGGCGTGCAGGAGAGGTGGATATCAACAGCCTCCAAATTGGCTCTTGGGAGGCGGGAGGAAGGAAAGAACTTAGAGACTAGTTCCTGCTCTGAGGGGAGGGGCATCGTAGGTTCTCCCCGCCCCCTTTCCCCCTTTAGCCAGTCTGCTGTCCTGAGACCCAGAAGTGACGGAGGGAAACCAACCAGAGAAAACCCTGTCTAGAAGGAATGTATTTGTTGCTAAATTTTGTAGCACTGTTTACAGTTTTCCTCCATGTTATTTATGAATTTTATATTCCGTGAATGTATGTCTTGTAATGTTGCATAATGTTCACTTTTTATAGTGTGTCCTTTATGCTAAACAGTAAAGTGGTTTTATTTCTATCACACACCTGCAGTCTCTCGCCTCCTTGTGTCCTGACGGCCATGGGGGGTTGTATAGATCGCAGAGGGCTTGGGTTGCTGGTCAGTCCTACCTGCCCTGGCGCCAGGCCCATGTACACTCCCCTCCCTGCACTCACTCCCACAGCTTGGACCCGCCCTGCCCCAGTCCTCTCCCAGGCAGGAGAGATTTCAGGAGAGGCAGCGTTGACTTTCCTCCTGGCTGCTGACGCAGCTCTGGCCTTGCTCCTTGGTTCTCTGGCCAGAGTTCGCCAGAGTTCTCCAGAATCTCGTTCTTTATCTAATTACCTATCAGGGGTACAGGTATTCCCAGGCTGGAGCTCTGACTTGCCCTTTCCTATTTTCTCCCTAAGAATCTCAACCAAATGGAAACGGGGAGGGGAAGTCTGCAAACAGCAGTCCTTGGTGCCAAATGCCTGTCTGAAATTCTGAGTGTGGCTCAGCCTAGTGGGGAATGCCAGGAACGCATGAGGCCTCACTATAGCTGGCAAAGCTCTCCCAGAGCTTAGAGCTGGGCCCGTCACCCTCATTGGGCTGGATTGGCTGTAGACCCTCGAAGCAACGTTCATCCCATTGTTGGCAGTGTTCCAGGGTTTAGCTTTGCCCCTATTGTAAAGCCACTCTACTTTGAGCCCTTATGATATGCCAGGCACAGCTGTCTATACATATGACTTCATTAAGTCTCAGCAGCTCCTAAGGTTTTTCTGCTATCACCCATGGTTTTCAGCGATGGCAGCTGAGGCACACAGAGGTTAATTCGCTGCCCATGACCTAGTTTGTAGGCAGACCTAGGATTCAAACTCAGGCAGGTTTGATGATGAACCCGAATTTTCTCCACTGTGTTCATGTTTTTGCTGGGTTCCACATGCCCTACAATTCCCACCAGCACACCTGGATTCTGTGACTCTCACTGGATCAGGTATAAGTGAAAGGTAATCAGTGGAAAACCGCTCCGTGTGGTGAGACTGCTCCCACCTGGAGCTCACCGTCCTACCATCACTTTCTCCAAACAGGATTGCCCAGCTCAGCAGCCTGAGCTTGGAATTCTACATACAGGCCACCATCCCCAGCTGGTCCTATCAGGTAGCCTATGAACTATCCTCTTTCCCAAGATTCACATTCTTCCCAAGGCACATGTTGGGCTGTGGCCCCGTATTCTTATGACCAATTGAAGAAGACCACCAACCATGCAAGCAGGCACATAATGGGCTGTTTCCAGCTGCCCAGAACTCTTCTTCCAACTTCCCCAGCTGTGGCATGGAGAGCTCACAGACGGAAACTCTCCACCCAGCTATCCTCCGAACGGCAGGCTATAAGCTGCGACCACTTCCCAGAGACAACCTCAGATACATTCAAAAGTTGGAATGTAAAGAGGACACACAAGGAAACTGCCCTTCAATGATCAATGCAAATCCAATATGACCGTTTTTATTAAAATAGGAGTTGAAACCAGGTCCGGCACAGTGCTCGAATGAAGTGACATCCTACCTTCGAAATATCTTTTACACTCATCATCAACCTTTGGCTCCAATATGCTAGTTCAAGTTGTCCTCTTATTTGCCAAAAATTCCTGATGTCCCGAGGAATTCTGTCCACCTTTGTCATCTGTCCTACTGCCCAAGATTTCACCTGGAGAGATGACTGTTCCCTGAGGAAAGCCAGGTACTCCCTAGGATGTCACGGCTCTTCCTTAGACCCTGGTGGTCAGGCAGCAGCCCCTGAGCCCACCTACTCCATTCAAATAGACTGAGAACATAAGCATTTGCATTGTTCCAGATCATATACATAAGCAGATTAAAAAAAAAAAAAAGGCACTCACCATTGGCTTATGGTTGGGGAAAAACGTCTGCTCCACAAGCGGGAACTTCTCAGGACCCAGGGAATGGAAGATCTTAATGAGCTGAGAGAACTAAGACAGAAGAGGAGAGAACACTGCTCAACATGTGTCCCCTAGTCTGGCGAAACCTCCCATGTGGTCCCCAGCCTTGAGCATCTGACTATTCTGAGCTGAGCCCCAGCAGCTGAGCCCTGCCTGCAGGATCAAGACCAGGGTCCTTGGCTGGACATTCGTCCCCTCCACCCGGCTGCATCAACCCCTTCATTCCTGCCAGGCTCACTGAGTTCAGCTCAGTGACTGGTGATGAGCATCTACTATCCCCTCAGCATTTCACACAAGCACAGCCTGCTGCCCGTCACGCCATGTCCCCTGCTGGCCATGCCCTTCTTTCCACAGAGACATACTGAGTAGTCATTCATGGCGTAGACTCTGGCTTCAAATCCTCACTCCATCACTGACTAGCTGTGTATCCTGGGAAGTCACTTTAGCTTTCTGAGCTTCAGTTCCCTCATTCATAAAGGGGGAAAACAAGAGGTCCAACCTCACAGCATGGTTGTAAGGTTTAAACCTACGATGTATTAAAAGCAGTGACTGGTCCATGGGAACACACCGATGTTAGATATTATAATTAATAACAAAAAAAATGTTCTCTGCTTTTAGAGCCCTACTCGTTTCCAACAGCTCGAGCCACGTTCCTTCCATGGGAGAAGCTACTGTCTCCAGGACGAGAGGGTGAGCTTCTGAGAGGCAGGTCTCAGACTCACGTTCTTCTGCATCACTGCACGCCACTCAGCTCGCTTAGCAGCGCCCTCCGTGCCTGACCCTGAGCCTTAATATTGGGGTAACAATATCAGATCAGGCCTTGTGAGAAGACAGACTGTGGGCAGATGGTTGAGATGATAACGTCTTGCTGGAGAGAGGCAAGGGCGGGTGTGGAAACTGGAAAAGGGACAAAATGGGGGGGGCCAGATGACATCAGAGCAGGAAGAAGGGTGCTCCAGGTGTTCAGTGAGATGAGTGTGTGCTGGAGACGCTCAGCGGCCGCCATGCTGTGTCCTCTGGTGTGGGGCACCGTAAGACAGGTGGTCAGAGGGTGCTCTATCACAGACCACCAGGAGCCTGAGGCAGACCGAGGACCTTGGGGTTCTCTCAGAAGGCATAGGGGAGCTGCTGGTGGACATCAGCAGGGAAGAGCAAAGTAGATTCTGATCAGAAAGAAGGTAAAAACTGCAATTTGTGGCCTAATGTGGATGCTCAATGGTTAGAAGGGGAGCGACGTCTTGCGCCAGACTGACTTGGAGGTAACACAGTTGCTAAGAGCTCACACAGAGAACGGGGTGACTCAGAAACTTTCTGCATCAGGCCAGGACTGGACCGCAAACTCTTGTGCTGTGGCTTGTAGGCGTGGTGCAACATGGAGTCAGCTTCAAGGGTTTGAGGGGCCTCAGATACAAGGCAAATGATGGCGGATTCCTCATTTTGCAGATAAGGAAACTAACGTCCAGAAAGGGACAGTAATTCCCCGATCAAACACAAGAGGTTTGGAGATGTCCAGCTACACCACTTACTATTAGCTACGTGAGCCTCAGTTTCCTGTACAGAGGAGAGAGTAACAAAACCTACTCATCAGGGCTCTGAGGATGAAGTACAATAAGCATGCTAAGGGCTCAGCACAGTGTGCAGGGAGTTGACTATGTGAAAAAATCAAGGGGGTGGGCCAATGCAATCGATGCCCCTCCTGGGACAGCGGCACTTGAATCTGGGATGCCATGGGCCAAAAATCCCAATGAGGGTAGATCGAGAAGGAGACCAGACCCACAATAATAGTGGTTAAGGACTATCTGCATCCATTAAATGAATGCATGTATTCATTCAGTAAATAGAGTGGAAACGCTGCAGAGACCTTGTTCCAAGTACTTGAGAGACAATATTAATGTGTTGAGTGTGCCCTTCATGCAAGCCACCATTCTAAGCACTTGACCTGTATGAACGAACTCATAACTCTACCAGGAAAGCCCTCTTCTTACCATCATTTTCCAAATATGGAAAATCAACCCAGAGAGGTTAAGCAAGTTGCTTCAGGCCACACAGCTTGTAAATGGAAGATCCTGGGCCTAGGTAGTCTGGCTCCAGAGTCCACGCTCTCCACCACTGCCCTCCCATCAGGAGGCCACGCAGAGACAAAAATGCAAGCGACAAGATGGCTAAGAGCTTCATGGAGTACATTCTACACCCCCAACCTCCACATTTCCTACCCCCCTTTTCCACTTCAGCTTCGCCCTTGGCACCTATCACAGGACACACTGCATATCTGGCATATTTATTCATGTACCGCTCATGCCCCTTCCCGCTAGACTGTACGGCCATGGGGCAGGGATTTGGGTCTGATCTCTCACTGCCATGAAGGGCTTGGAACAGTGCCTGGAATACAGTAGGTGCTCAATAATATTTGTTGCATGAATGAATTACTTCTAGTAGGGGAGTCACAAATGAATGAATAAACATATCATTCGAGGTGGCGATAAGTATTTTGGGAAAAATTGAAACAGGGTAAGGGGTTTGAGAATATTCTGGGGGTGTGGAGGGGTGGTATTTTAGGAAAAGCTTCTTTTACCAGTAACATTTAAATGGAGACTCAAATCAATCAATCGAATGAATGAAACGAATGAATAAAAGGTGGGGGAAATCAAGTCTTGGGGTTTGGAAAGAGGGCTTCAAGCTCCTGTTTCACCCTCATGGTCTCCATGACGCTGGGTGAGTTCCTTTATTGCTCTGAGGTGGAGTCTGTTTTTCTGTAAAATGGAGTGATGAACCCTCTTCCCATGGTAATGATGAACTGAACACCAGGCAGCACACTTTTCTGGTCCTTACTAAGTGCTCAATGAACAGTGCCTGCTGTTAACAATGACATAATAGAATATTATTACAGCAAGAACAGTGCAGCACCGCCTCTTACTACGAATATTATACGATAATATTGTATCATCACACGTTGTTATTGGTCAGGCAATAATTACAGAAAGGGGGCTGGGATCCAAGTTGCTGATTCAGTGGCTTAAAAAAAGACTCCTTTCATGACTGAGGCCTCCATGCTGGGGAACGGGCCCATTTCAGGGCTGGGAGGCCCCTCCCCCCATGGCCCCCATTTGGCTGCGGGTCTGTCACTCACCACCCAGGGCTTGCTGCAGAAGTTATAGACAGAATAGAGAGAGTTCACGGCGGGCAGCCCTCCGTACTGGAGGCCGATGACCAGGCTGCGGTAGTCTTCTCCCAGGGCCATGCTGTAGGCGTGCTGACGGACCAGGATGAAGTCCGGCTTGAAGGATCTACCAAGAGAGGGGCCAACAGCAGCGTTACCACACGGCGCACTGAGGGGACACCAGGGCACAGGGCCACAGCCTGCTGGGGGAGCACTGACCAGGGGGGGTCGCTGCCAGCAGGGAGCCCTCAGTGCAGGAGGGAGATGGGGTGGGGGAGTGTGGATGAGGACGATCAGATGCAAGCAAGCACAGCAACAAAGTAAAAGGACTGAGAAACAACCCGTACATTCTGTTTCTCGTTTAGGCTGTTTTCTGAAAGGTCTACATTGAACAGATACTTCATGTGCCATCAGAGAAAAATGTATCAGACAAGTCAGTGAATCTGAACAGGCACTATAGCGAAGCACATATTACATTCCTGAGTCCCCATGACGCCCTGGGGTGTGGTACTGCTGCCACCCACTCCATTTTCCAGAGAGCCCCTTGAGGCTCAGAAAGCTTAAGTCATTTGCTTAAAAAGATGTGCTGCAGGTAAGTGGCAGGGCCAGGTCCATGTATTAATAGCTTCATGTCCCTGGTTCTCCATCACCATGCAGCATGGCTTCCCTCCTGTGTATTTCAACTGTGTCTTGTCTCTTTCAAGAAAACAGCAAGAGTACTGACGTGATGGCCGAGCACATGCTTCGGTCCCTCTGAAAATACCATCCTTACCCAGGCGGGGCTATTTCCTCATTTTATAGATGGGAACACTACAGCTCAGAGAAGTGATGCGTTTCCTCAAGTGACAAAGCTCGGAAGCAGGAGTGCCACGTTGAAAGTCGGGTCATCTGATTCCACGTCCATGCACTTTTCCCTCCATCACGCAGTGCCAGGGGGACTGACACATTGTTTCACTCACGCTACCAAGGAGCCATCTGTTTCTGGATTCCTCACTTCTAAGTCGCACGAGAAAACCACGGTAGGTGGTTTACACTCAAAATGGTATGATCCACTTGGCTCAACTAGAGTCAAACACTTAGCTTCCAATACATGGTGCGTCTTTAAAATACGTCAAAGGTAAATAAAAATGGCTCTCACAGAAAAAGGACCTGCGCTCACTGAAGACAGAGGGAAAGAACGTGTACACAGGCACAGACATTTGTTAAACCGTTCCACACCCCAGGGCCTGGCACCTCGGAAACAGGGACATAATAAGTACATGTGGGAGGAATGAATGATGTACACAAGCATCACCTCCTCGTCCCCAAAGGAAAGGGCAAGGGTCTCCCAGCTAAGTTGTAACTCATCCCGACGTGGTCACGTGTCATGTGACATCACGAGTATGGTTGACACGGTGCTCACGGAAACAGGTCCTCATATCACTCTGCAGTTAGGGTGGGGGGTAGGTTTGAAGCTTGCAATTAGTACACCTACGTCCTTATTGTATTCTTAGAACTGAACAGTCCAACCAGTGTATTTTACGTATGGGGAAACTGAGGCTCATAGCAAAGCAGTGACACGTCCCAGGTCACCCGGCAAAACCACTGTCGAGCAGGAGACTGCAGTCGGCTCTCTGCTCCCGCTTTCCTGCTTTTCGGGCCCCACTATGCTGGCTCTTGAATAAGAGAGATGGAAGGGAGGGGTGAAGGGGGCACATGTGTGTCTCCAATAGGGATCTGATGACAATAGGGAACTCCGACTTAAAATATAACCATTTTCTGCTTTTATCTCATTTTGAAAGTAATACATGTTCATTGTGTAAAAGAAAAAAAAAATCTTGGATAACACAGAGAAGTAAACAAAATTACCTGTAATTCTCAACTCAGAGAAAATCCCTAATAACCTTTCTAGGTGTGTCTATGTGTCCATTAGAATTCAATTATCTACTTTTAAAGTGTATAATATGCATTCATACTCATAATTGATTTTATGCTTTCTATTATTCTTTTTCTATTTTCACATATTATAGTGTGAACATTTCCCCTACTATCAAATTATTTCCCAAAAATATCATTTCTAATGGCTACCTAATAGTCCACTGAATGGCTATATCATACTTAAGTCAACCAATCATCTACTATCATCACGTAGGCTATTTCCAATATTTCACACATGTACACATTTGTACACAAGTCAATGCCTTCACTTCAAACTATTTCCTTAAAATAGATTTAAGAAGTGGAATCACTGGGTTAAAGGGTATGAGCTTTTTTTAAGGGACTCCAAAAAGCACCTCTTTTAAATTTTATTTTATTTTTTTAGCTGAGCCATCCTGCCACCTGTTGGCAGCTCAGCGGCAGCTCAGTTCGGGCCGGGAATCGAACTGCTGTTGCTCAGAGCTCAAACTCTTGAGCAAGCTCTTAACCAACTGAGCCACTCGGCCGGCCCTAAAGCACCTCTTTTTTAAAGGCATATGTCACCATTTGCACATGACAGCTTCCATCTCACCGCAGCCTTGCCAGCACCTCAGTTTTCTAAAACTACATTTTTCAATTTCATAAGCAACTTTCCCTCAAAGACATTCTGCATCTCATGGCTGCTTTCATTTACAGTTCTCTGATTTTCATGAGTTTGAGTCCTTTCACTCACCATTTGCATTTTCTTTTCTATAACTGTTGCTCACGTCTTTCCCCATTTTAGAAAACGGGGCCCTGCTGTTTCTTCACTGACGCGAGCTGTGTGTGTTAGGATGCTGTCTTTCATCTGTCATGTGTGGCAGATTTTTTACTTGTTGCTTGTTACCTTTTTTTAAATTTTTTTATGGCTGTGCATCTTTAAAAACACATGTAAACACATTTCCCATTGCCTCTGAGTCAAATCTAGCAGCCTTTCCTTTCTGATTTCTCTCTCTGCTTTGATGCTTGGAGATCCCCCAGGGCCTGGCTCTGACAGTGAGATGCCCCCTCACAGACCACATGGCAGCAAACATGGCGTCTCATGAGGGGTAACTCCACTCGACTCCAGGAGGAAATAATTATAGTCATACGCCATACGATGACATTTTTGTCAACAACAAACTGCATAGACCACGGTGGTCCCATAAGATTATAATGGAGCTGAGAAATTCCTATCACCTAGTGCTGTCATGGCTGGCACGATGCAACACATTACTCACGTGTTTCTGGCCACACTGGTGTCAACAAATCTACTAAGCTGCGAGTCATATACAAGTATAAGCACAATTATGCACAGTACATAATACTTGATAACAATAATAAATGACTGTTACTGGTTTATGTATTTACTGTACTATACTTTTCATTGTTACTTTAGAGTGTACTCTTTCTATGTATATATATATGGGGTGGCCGGTTAGCTCAGTTGGTTACAGCATGGTGCTAATAACACCAAGGTTGCTGGTTCGATCCCTGTGGGGACCACTGTGAGCTGCGCCCTCCTAAAAAAATTTAAAAAATAAAAAAAATAATAAATAAAAATAAAGTTTGCTGTAAAACAGTATGCTGTGTTATGCCAGCAGCGGCCTCATCCATCTTGTGTTTACCCTGTCTCTTGATTGCATCATCTCCTCTTGGGCTTGAATGAACCTCTTGTGGTTTTGTATACAGCCTAGGTGTGTGGTAGGCTGCACCCTCTAGGTTGTGTGAGTACACTCTATGATGTCACACAATGATGAAAACCCCTTACGACTCATTTCTCAGAACACGTCCCTGGCATTAAGCAGTGTGTGACTATAAGGTCTCATGTTAGCCGGCCTCTTAGTTTTTCACTGTTTGTGGAGAGCTTATAAGAGGGACACAGCTGGAGGGTGGCAATCTGGCTATCTAGAAAAAAAAAAAAGGGTGCCCTTCCAAGACCATTTTCCAAGGGGAGTATTGGGTGACCTGTCTGTGGATATGGCAACTCTAGTCCCAGATATGATGGCGCTTTCTCTCCAGGACTTCTAGGACTCACCTCTAAATCAGAATCTTTCCGATTTTTTGAAATAAAAGTACGGGTCACCTCCTCTTTGTCTTGAAGGGTCTGGGAACCTACCTCAGATTCCATATTCCAAGTCCTCTTTCAAAATTATACATCACAGCCCTGCTTACACCCCTCTTTCTGACTGATCCTAAGCTCCTTGCCCACCCCTCCATCCTCATTTCTACCTTTCTCTTCTCCCTCACCTCCACTCGAACCACACTGACACCCTCCTTTCCTCTAATTCCTCCCCCTGGACGCTTTCTCCTAAATTGTGTGTGGCTTCCTTGTTCTCAGCACTCACTCACTGGCTCAAATTCACTTCCTCAAAGAAACCTGTCCTGGTCACTCTATGGAAATTTTCCCCAACCCTCATACTGCCCTGTTTTCCTTTCCTCACAGCTCTTGTGACAACTGTGTTTCTCCTGTTTATCTGCTTAGTTGCTTATTGTCTGTCCCTCTCTTCTAAAGATGTCAGTTCAATGAGAACAGGGGACACACGTGCCATGGACAAAACAGGTCTTACCAATGGTTTTCAATGGATGATGGAGTTAATGTATGTATGAATGTATGTATGAATGAATGAATGAATGAATGAATGAACACAAAATGGAATATCTACTGAAAAAGGGACAGACCTCTTTCCCTGTGGTCCTAGAGAATAAGGACTGATGGCCTAACCAGCCAGGAGATAACACATGGCCCCTAATACTCAGGAGCTGCCTTTCAAGGTAACAAGTTCCATATTTTGGGAGGTATGTTAGCATCACCAAGGAAGTTTCAACCCCAGGGAATTAAGTTGGACCCCCTGACCTCTTAAGATTCTCAGATACAATATGTGAAAAACAAACTCTTTCCATGAGGCCAAACCAGGCATGTGTTTGAATTCTTCCATTCATTGCTAAATATATAAATGCATAGGATTTATGCATTTATATATATAAATTCCTGACGGCCTGGGGTAGGAGGGATTTGCAAGGAATGCAGAGGAATTCATGACGCCAGCCAGGTGACCTGTGGCTTGCAGTTCCTCCCTCTATAACCCAGTACCCCGGGTTCTCCATCCAGCCAGGGAACAGCCAAGTTCTGCATGTCACCCGCCCATCTAAGGATGGGACCACCAGCAGCTGTAAGGCCCTGACAAGCTCCACGGTAAAGGCTGGATACTC